AAACTGACATTATTCAAGAAGTTCAAACGAAAAGCCCTAATACTTGGGCAAATCAAAATCCACTACTTAAAACAAATTAACCCACAATCTTGAAACTTGAATCTCCAGTACATATACTCATAATCATAATCATAAAATAACTTCCAAATTTTAACTCTAACTCTTCACCCATCTCCTTGACATCTCACCGGTGCTAGCACGGCCGCTCGCCTCATCTTACTTCTTCTCGGGATCCACTTCTGCTAACCCAACCTCAACCTGGTGAGTGAGAAGGGGTCAGTCTCGTCATTACTTCCTAAGGTCTCTGCCCTTAGAAATCTCCTTACTAAAACACGTTATTAGCGTTTCCTCATCCTTAGATGAAAGTCGTTCTCACTTTCATCCTTAACAACTCATTCCAACTTTAACTCATAGAGGTTCTCAACTTTTATCCTTAAATCATAGAAGTTCTCTGCTACCTTAACTTATATACTTATTACCAGGGAATCACCGCGTTACGTATCGCCGTCCGATGTCCCTATCCTCAAGGCAATGGTATTGCGTTACGTATCGCCGTCCAGTCCATGCCCGGTCAACTACTGGGTTACGTATCGCCGTCCAGTAGTGACCCGACCATCTACCGCGTCCAGTAGTGGCCCAACCGCCCGGGGGTTCAATTATCATCATCCATACATCATAAACACACACATACATAGCACAACGCGTGCCTCCACCTTAAGTAGGCGGTGGGATGTCTCACACACATAAACGCGCTTACTTGAAAATTAAATAACATAACTGAATTAAAAATGCATAAACTAAAAGACCTCGACGGAGATTTTACCCCCTTTACACTCACCTATTTTACTGTTGAAAATTCTAATTCGGATCGGCTTGCTCATCCTCGTCATTGAATTCCATTATCTTGACCTCGTCGTGCCGTGTCATCCAGAAAACGTCCGTAGTTAGTAAATGGAATAAAGCAACTCAATTGCAACATGAGTAACCCATCCCACGTTACTCATTATCACCCATCCATAAATTCGTGCACATGAAAATCCTTCCCACCACCATTAACTTGAGAATCCCATCAAGGGTTCATGGGGAAATTTCAAGATCAGGATTTTGCTTCTTCCCCAACGCATCCCCAATATAGCGATCACGATTATAAAGGGAGGAAAACCCCTTACCTCAGTTTAACTAGGAAACAACAGTCGTGTACATCACCCCATCGCCTATCATCATCCACCTCCAATTGGCAGGTCACGTACGATCACCCGCCACCATCGATCGGCTTGAAGCCATGCTTGAACTAGTCCATCAAAGATTCAATCAGCACCTCTATATACGTACAGAAGCACCTCTATATGGATCCATCCCCAACTCCGGTCGACATCTCTCTGGCTCTCTCTCGTTCTCACCATCGCGTTCCTTTTCCTCCCACTTGAACTGGCTCTCTCCAATTTTATGATCCACAAAGAGATCGCTTGCACCCTTGGATACATGACCGGGGTTTAGTTCAATCGTGAGGGAAGGGAATTGACGAGTTGTTTGAGCGGCAGAAGGAAGATGAAAAAAAAAATTGGCTCCTCTTAATGGTGCCGAGAGTGGGGTGGTTTGGATGGGTGTAACGGGTGGGATGATGATGACTAAGATTATGATAATGATAATGACAATGATAATAATAAGGATAATAATAATTGTAGTTATTAATGTTATTATTATCTCCAAATTATGGTTGTAACTCTTTGTATGTAACCGTCGATCCAACCGTTCATTTACTATGGTCGAACCTGGACCAAAAAGTCGGGGTGTAACAGGGACACTGCTCGCCTGAAAAGTGCAGCAAGAAAAGCCGAGGTAAAGGAGCATTCACAGAACAAATGCTGGCGGGACTCAGCAGCTGTGTGGCACAGAGGGCAAGAGTCATCAATAATCATTCTCCAGCTCTTCAATTTATCACGAGTAGCAATTCTGTTTAATATGATCAACCAGACAATGAATCGATTACGTGGTATAATAAATCGTCCCCAGATCACTCTCCACCAAGACACCTCAGGACCCTTAAGTCTAATAGAGTTCCAGATCAGTGAAACAGAATAAACACTCAATTTCCTACCCAACCAAGATACACTACCGTCAGGTTCAAGACACATCCTGAACTGCAGCCAGGATCTAAGTTCCAGCAGCTGTTTCCAGATCTAAGATCCAGAAGAGGTGAGTCTGACCTCCCAAATGCAGTGGCCTCTCAACCTATATCTGGTACACCAAGCAACCCAGAAACTACCTCCCTAGATCAGCAATAGCCAGATTAGCCTAGCTAAACAAGCAATGTTCCATGTACTTAGGTCTTTCAGGCCAAGCCCACCCTCCTTTTTTGGCAAGGAAACTGATTCCCAGGCAACCTTGGCTTTGCCAACACCATCACCATGCCATAGAAAATTGGAACAAATCTTCTGAATACTCTTAAGCACCTTCTTTGGGAGAATAAAAATTGCCATCCAGTAATGAACAACTGCATATAGAACAGACTCTACTAACTGGATCTTGCCTGCATAAGATAACTTCTGAGCTCTCCACCCTCTGATCCGTTGGGTTAGTTTGTCTACTAGGACAGCACATTCAACACTAGACAGTTTCCCTGAGATGAAAGGTAGGCCTAAGTATCTAACTGGCAACTTGCCCTGCCTGAAGCCAGAAACTTGTAGAGCAGTGGATTTAAACTGGTGAGTAAAACCACCAAAAAACACTTCACATTTGTCTGGATTGCACTGTAATCCTGAGAGTTGATAAAATGCGTCCAAAACTTTCCTGATACCCTTCAAAGCCTGACCTGACCCTTCTGAGAATATCAAGAGGTCATCAGCAAAACTCAAGTGAGTGAGACCAATCTGTCTGCATTGACGATGATAGGGGAATCTACCATTTGCTGCTGCTATATTTAATAAACCCGACAGAAGTTCCATTGCAATAGTAAAGAGGTAGGGGGAGAGAGGATCCCCTGCCTGACCCCTTTCATTGCAATGGAGAACATTTTTATATTGGTGTTAGGATGATAGATACCATATTGCCTATGTTTGGCCCGGCTTTTAGAAGTGATTTTCGGCTTCAAAAGTTTAAACAGGGCCAAACACCTCTAAAAGCTTGGCTTTTGAAAAGCCGAAAAGCGCTTTTGTATAACATAAAAGCATAAGCTCCGATTTGGAGCTTCTGCAAAAAGTTGTTTTGAAAATACAAGATTATCCTTACCATATTTTAATTTTATTTCAGAAAATATAATTTTCCTTCATTTATATTATTTTAAAAATAAAATAAATTATAAAATCATATTATTTAATACAAAAGAAATCTAGCAAGATCCATTTTGACTACTTTTTATTGTTTAGAATTTGTATTCATATTTTATATTATAAGTCCTTTATAGTCATTTTACACAACCGCTCATATTAAAAAGCACTTCTAATAGTTTTACAACCAAACACTAAACTGCTTTTTTTGAAAAGTACTTATCTAAAAACTACAGCCAAATACTGTTTCTGCAAAAGCTACAACATTGCCAAACTAAGCTATTCTTGAGGGTTTTCCAGAAATAGCACTGTTTAAAGAAAATTACAAAAATAACACCCAACTCCGAAAAATTCCAAAAATAGCACCCTTTTTGCAAAACCGCCACCCGTACCAACGGTTAAGGCAAAACCGCCACCCGGGGCGCGTTTTTCGATGAAAACCGCACTGGTAGGGGCCGGTTTTTCAAACCGCACCCCCACCATGCGTAGGGATGGCAGGCCAGGGCCCAATAGCGGGTATCCGCCCGAAGCCCGCCCGATAAGGGGCCAGGTGGTTGGTGGTTTCTGGCCCGTCAACGGATGGCGGGTAACCCGAGACCCGTCAACCATGATTTTCGGGCGGTGGTGGTTAGCCCAGTATCCGCCCCGCGACCCGCCCGACGGCTTAACCGTGTAAAAAACGACGGCGTTTGGAGGGCCATATATATTCTTCACTTTCCCTTACAGAAACCCTAGCAGCCGCCTCAGATTTCATTCTTCACCAAACGATCCAAAAAACAGAAACCCTAGTTTCCTTCTTTCTCTCTGCCTGCTCTCTGGCGATTAGCGATCAGATCGCTAGATAATCGCGATCTGGCCGATTTTTCGTCATTTCCCCTCATCAAATCCTCCATTCGACCAATTGCATGGCTGGAAGAGCAACCATCCGACGAAGATTTCGTCGGCCGCAGTCCAAAAACGAGTCGTTGCCTCGTTGGAAGTTCAAATCGCCGATTCTTCGAGAAAAGATAAGTTAATTCTGGGTTTCTTATCTTTTCTTTCAAGTATCTTCCCTGATTCCCCGTTCCCCTAACTCTCTACTGACTCTTCTTATACTGGTATATATAGGGGGGATTCAGAGGGCAGAGGTCGTTTCTCACCACACCATCTTCTAAAATCGAGAACAAGAACACCCCAGTCAAGTCAACAGAGAGCAGAGACCGAGGGATTTAGCCGAGCCTCCAGACAGAGTCCAGTCGTCGAGGGCAAGTTTCTTGATCTCGTCTATACTTTTTTATGAATTATGGGTTAATAGTCTCATAATACAGACATGCATGCATTAAATTCCAGTTCTAACTTGCTTTGTGTTCGTTGTTCACTCTTGTTTGGGCTAGGTTGGTCTCGTTTGGATTGGGTTTAGAGAACTAAAGCAGAATAGAGTCAGTGAGCAGTGAGGATCAGTCTACTGTCATTGGGTACTCAACAGTCCACATAAAACTCCAATCCGAGAAGTTAATCCCTTCCTCCTCTCCTAAGCCTCAACTCACTGTGTTTGACTGTTAGTTCATAATGCTGCGACTTGTTGTGACAATCAGTGGATTCATAATGCTAATAAGTAAAAATAATTAAACTGTAAGCGTGATTTTGCTGCTAAATATGTTTGTTTCCAAGTTTAGTTTTGTCATTGTGAATGTAACTAAGTTAATAACTATTAACTAAGGCTTAAGTAGTAACACATAAATTGATTATGTTCAGATGGAAGGTGCTCCTACTGCTATAAATGTTGACCTTGCTCCCAATGTGAATGTCCCTGAAAATGGTGTCCAAGTCCTACCTCAACCTGAACAACCTGTTCAACCTCAACCTGAACAACCTGGTAATGTTGTGGAGCTTGAAGCTCAACGTAAGTTAACCTCTGATGTGTGGCCTCACTTCAACCGAGTTAGGGTTAATGGGGTTATGAAGACTAGGTGTAAGTATTGTCGTAAATCCCTTGGTGGGGAAACAAGTAATGGAACTTCACACCTAAGAAGCCATATCAAAACATGTATCCAAAAGAGGATCCATGATGGTTCTCAAAAAATACTTGGCCCTAACTATCAACCTGCTGGAAATCCTCAACTCTCTGCTTCTCAATACAATTATGAGGTTTCTAGGAAGGAACTTTGTTCAATGATTCTGGTCCATGAGTACCCCCTTAGCCTTGTTGATCATGTGGGTTTCAAACGTTTTTGCTGTTCTCTTCAACCTCAGTTCGCTGTTCCTAGTAGAAACACTGTCAAAAAGGACATTTTGAGTTTGTATGGTGTTGAAAGGGGTAAATATCATACCATTATTGATGGTAACCTGGGGAGGGTTTCAATTACAACTAATTTGTGGACTGCCAGAAATCAGAAAAGGGGTTATCTGGCAGTAACTGGTCACTTCATTGATAACTCTTGGAAGCTCCGTAACATAATGATGAGATTTATGTATGTTCCAGCCCCTCACACTAGTGAAAGGCTTGCTGATAGGTTGTTTGATTGTCTTTTGGATTGGAACATTGATGGTAAGTTGTCCTCAATCACATTGGACAACTGTACCACCAATGATTCCATGATTTTCCACATGAGAAATAAGCTTCTGAGCAGTGACTTGTTGCTTGATGGTAAATTGGTTCATATGAAGTGTTCTGCTCATATTCTGAATTTGATTGTAAGGGATGGTTTGGATGCAATCAAGGATGCTATAAATTTGATTAGGGAGAGTGTAGTTTACTTGAATTCTATACCTAAGAGGGTTCAAACCTTCTTCAAAGTTGCTAAGCAACTTAAGCTGTCTGTTGAGAAAAAATTAGTCATTGATTGTCCAACTAGGTTGAGTTCCACCTATCATATACTCTCTGTTGCTATTCCCTACAAGGATGTTTTCTTTCGTTTGAGTTTGAGAGACAATCATTACACATCAGTTCCTTCTAGTGAACAATGGGAATTTGCTTCTACTGTGATTGGGAAGCTGGAAATCTTTTCTGAGATTACTGAGTTGTTCTCTGGTTCCAAATATCCGACTGCCAATCTGTTCTTCCCCAAGATCTGTGATCTCGGACTTAAACTGAATGAGTGGGGTCTTGATCCCAATCCTGTGATTTTTGGAATGGCTAGTCAAATGTCACTGAAGTTTGATAAGTACTGGGATGATATCCATCTTGTGCTTGGTGTATCGGTTGTTTTGGATCCTAGATATAAACTCCATGTGATTGAAAAGTTATGCGAAATAAAGAAAAATTCATGTCGTTTGGATTTTGGAGCACAAAGTTATGGTTGTCCAAAGTTTGACGAAATCGAAAAAAGCTCGTTTGGGGTAGCAAACGGCATTTTTTGGGACGAAGGCGGGACCAAACCACCTTCGGCAGTCTTTGACTTGCAAGATCTCAAAAAGTTATGCGAAATCAAAAAAAAATTCGCGACGATCGGATACTCGAACACAAAGATACGTTCGTTTGAAGTTTCCACCTAGGTTAGGATTTTTCAAAAAAAACAAACAAAAACAGATGCGGGGGTGCGGTCTGTAACCAAACCGCATGGTGGGGGTGAGGTCTGCAAAACCGCCCCCTACCAGTGCGGTTTTCATCGAAAAACGCGCTCCAGGGTGCCGGTTTTCGCCTAAACCGCTGGTACGGGTGGCGGTTTTGCAGAAAGGGTGCTATTTTTGGAATTTTTCGGAGTTGTGTGCTATTTTTGGAATTTTTTTTTTAACAGTGCTACTTTTGGAAAAATCCCAACAAATATGGTTCTGAAACTAGAACTTCTTCTTTTGGTTCTGGATCTGCCTCTGACACTGAACTTGACTTTGAACCTTTGTAAGTCAAACGAAAAAGAGTAAGACTTCCTTGATTACAATTGAGTTGGATATGTATCTTGCTGAGGATATCATTCCTCGCACAGCAGAGTTTGATCTGCTCTTGCGGTGGAAATTGAATGGTTTGAAGTATCCGACCTTGCAATCAATTGCAAGGGACTTTCTGGCAATCCCTATTACTTCTGTGCCTTCTGAGAGTGCATTTAGTTCTGGTGGGAGGTTTTTAGGCCCTCACTGGAGTAGGCTGCATTATTCGACTGTGGAGGCAATGATGTGTACTAGGAGTTGGATAATGGAGGACATGCAACGAGGTAACATACAACTAAAACTCTCAAGTTTATTGGTTTACGTTTTAACAATAGTATGAACTCATTCAACTGGTTCTCTGCAGATTCGGAGGCTGCTGTGGAGGCATTGGATGGACTCTTCTCAACAATGACAGTCGAAGATACAACTGTGTAAGAGGCAGAACCTGGTGGTAAGATCAATAGATCATTTTTCCATAGTGTGTTCTAATTTCTATTACTTCATTGAGGAATACTTACATTTGCATTGTTTCGCTTTTTGAGGTCCAGAACTCACCTTAATGAGATCACCATTTGCCCATGAAGACTGATTGGTAATCTGTTGTGGGACCAAGGTAAATGTCTTCTTTATTTGTTGTCGTTGATGCAGACGTGTTATTCATTTAGTCTTTACTAACTGATTCATTCCTCTTGTGTGTTCTTTACACAGTTTCAATTGATGCCTGCTAGTCTGTTGGTTTACATCGATTGGAATGAGGGTCAGGGGTGGTCGGGTGGATGATTGCTTAATGATTCGATGTTGCTGGAACCTAGATGGAATATTGTTGCGCTGCTGTTGCACGAACCTATTTCATTCTACTGTTTTTGGATAAGAATTAGACATTTATATTTCGAAAATTCATTCCTTGTAAAAATTGTAGTCCTTAAAAAGTTATGCGAAATAAAAAAAATTAATGTCGTTTGGATTTTGGAGCACAAAGTTATGGTTGTCCAAAGTATGACGAAATCAGAAAAAAAACTCTTTCGGGGTAGCAAACGACATTTTTTGGGACGAAGGCGGGACCAAACCACCTTCGGCCATTTTCGGCTTGCAAGATCTCAAAAGGTTATGCGGAATCAAAAAAAATTCGCGACGATCGGATACCCGAATACAAAGATACGCTCGTTTGAAGTTTCCACCTAAGTTAGGATTTTTCAAAAAAAAAAAAACAGACCGCATGGTGGGGGTGCGGTTTGCAAAACCGCCCCCTACCATGCGGTTTTCATCGAAAAACGGGCCCCCGGGTGGCGGTTTTGCAGAAAGGGTGCTATTTTTGGAATTTTTCGGAGTTTGATGCTATTTTTGAATTTTTTTTTTAAAACAGTGCTATTTGTGGAAAAATTCCGCTATTCTTGGGCTACAGTTTATCGGCCAACAAGTCAAGCCAGTGCTAATACATAAAGACTATTTACTGAGGGTTAGAACTGTTATTCTCCATGAATGATAATATGATATCATTATTAAAAAAAAAAAACAGATCTATTTTGCAATCAAATTTGTTGACTTTGTGATTGGTGACCTGAATGGAAAATACATAGATTTTGATTCTTTTTCTTATATAGTTTTTGTGTCTGGATTGGGGTTTTTCCGAGTTACTGTCCACCAAACCAACCCAATAAATTGGGTAAATACAATTTAATAACCCAAACCTTTCACCCGAAGACAAAATAATAGCCAAACCTTTTTCGAAAACAAATTATTAGCCAAATCGTCAACTCTCCGTCTGGTCAACCGTCAGTTGACTCCAACGTGGAAAGAAACTGTACAAGTTGGCTCATTTTTCTGATGTGGCACCTAATAAAAATAAATGGGAAAATGAAATAAGAAATGGAAAAATCAATGCATTATCTAATCACCCTCCCTCTCTCTTCATTCTCTTCCACCCATTCTCCCCGTTCGAATTCCACTCTCAAAGAAGACTCTCCTCCTCCTGCGAAACCAAACCCGTCGCCCACCACAGAACCAAAATCAACGGCGCCTGTTTCGTCCCTCTTCTTGTGAAAGCCGAAAAAGCTAGCGTCACTCCCGGTCGTGCATTCCCAAGCTGGGGCTTTTGGCGAAGGAAACATCGGAGCGCTGATGAGGAGACGACGGAGCGCTGACGAGGAGACGACAGAGCGCTGAAGGAGACGACTGATTTAGGTACCCATTCCCTGATTTTGCTTTCAAACCCTAGGTTCTTTATCCCCATTTGATTGAAATTGCCCTCTTTTATAGTAGTGTGATTTTGGCCGAATATCATTTGTGAGGACCACAGCGGGACCACTAAAGAAATAGTCACAAAATTTCCCCTGCATTACAAGGTATGAAAGCAGAAGCATAGGATCGAACTGTAATTGTACTGCGAATGAAAAGTCATCTTCTCGGGAAAGTCACGTGTAGCTTTTTGCTTCTTCCTCGCAGATGACGGAATATTTGGATATTCTATACCATCATGGTGGGGTTATGGACTTCTCAAGATCGGAACCACGATATGTTGATGGTTTTTCAGAGAAGATAGCGGTGGATGTTGACGAAGTGTGTTACTTCGAGCATTTGAATGTGGCTACAATTTACTTGAAGTATGTTGGCATTCGAAAGATATGGTACTTAACACCGGGGGCTACAATGGCGGATGGTCTACATGAAGTGCATTCCGATAAAGATGTGATGGAAGGGTTGCTAATCGATGCAGCCGGTACTAGGGATGTGTCAGTTTTTGTAGAGGCTGTCGAGGTGGAGGATGGACTGGTGGGAGACAATGAGGAACCAGACTTGTTTCAAGGTTTTCCGAAGGATGTTGCAGATATTGGTGAGGGCTCGGTTGCGAGGAAATTGATTCATGTTGCGGACTCTGATGATTCTCTTATGTCAGAGCCAAATAATTCAGCCCCCCATCCCATGTCAGATTCTGATTCAGGGGATGAAGTTGAGCAGCCTCATGGTGTTGAAGATGAATACCTTGACGTGGAAGAAGGATCAGCTGATTCTTCTGATGTGGCTGCCAGAGAAACCAATCCAAGGGTGCCGAATGTGTTCAATGAAGAGACTGAGGAAAGATATTCGGATTTGCCTGTTTACGATCCCGATTATGATCATGAGGAATTCTTCTTCAAAGTTGGGTAGAAGTTATTGTCTGTTGATCAATTTAGAGATGCTATATACAAGCACTCTCTTGTTGTTGGGGCAAATGTCGCATGTACAAGGAGTGATGGAAGTATGAGGGAGTTTAAATGCAAGGATGAGGCTTGTGATTGGAGGGTATATGCTGCCTGGTGGGGAGATGGTGCAAGTTTCATGGTTAGGCGGATAGGTACGCCTCACACTTGCTCTCGGTCTCTACGAGTCAACTTAGCGACTGCAAGGTTCCTTGCTCAACATTATTTCGAGCGACTCAGGGTCAATCTGAAGTGGGAGCCTTGCCATATTGGTGAAGAGGTGAAGGCAGAATTGGGGGTCGATGTTGAGGTAAGAACTTGTTACCGAGCTAAGGTAATTGCACGGGAAATGTTGAATGGGACCCTTGACGAAGAGTATCACAAGTTGAGAAGCTATCTGGCAGCTTTGAAGAGGGCAGATTCAGAGGGACTATTCATTCTAGATGTTGTTCCAGACGGGACAGTGGATAAGGTGTATTTCAGACGGTTCATGGTGATGTTTTCAGTTCTGAAAAATGGATTCCATGTTGGATGTCGAAGGATTTTTCAGTAGATGGTTGTTTTTTGAAGGGCGAGGTCAAAGGAATGTTGTTGACTGCTGTGGGGAAAGATGGGAATAATCACATTCTCCCATTCATATGGGCTGTGGTAGAGAGAGAGAACAAAGAGTCATGGACGTGGTTTCTCAATATAATCCAAGAAGAGTTAATGTTTGGTGATGGAAGCGGATGAAGCATCGTTTCCGACCAACAAATGGTAACTTTTAATTCAACTTTGTTGTTCTGTTCAATTCTAAAAAAGTTTGTTATTGTGAGATTTATAATAGAGTTCCTGTCTTCTGAATGGTTGGTTTGCAAGGGCTGGTCTAGGCTATGCATGATGTGATGCCTAATGCAGAGCATAGGAAGTGTTCCCATCATATGAATGCGAACTGGAAGGCCAAGAACAAGAACGATCGAATGTGGAACTTATTTTGGAAGGCTCTATATGCTTACAATGAGGCTGATTTTAAAGAAGTTACTTCCGAGATGGAAGCATACGAAAAAGAGGCTTCCACAAATGAAAAACCATACATTGACTTCATTGATCAAGATCCGACTACATTCTGTCGTGCATTTATATCTAGAGTCGCGAAGTCTGACTCTGTTGAAAGTAATATTTGTGAGAGCTGGAATAATGTAATACTCAAGCACAAGGAGCAGAGAATTATTGTTATGCTAGAGGGCATTCGAGGTTACATGATGGTTCGGATGAGGAAGATGCATCAACGGTATGAAAGGCTTCAGAACTTGGTATGTCCACAGGCAAGAATCATCATAGCCGAAGAGGATGTCAAGGCAAGAAAGTGCCTTGCTTGTGCTAGCACCAATGAAAGAGTTGAAGCCCGTATTGGGGCAGCAGGATTGGTGGTTGATTTTGGCAGTCGTGATTGTACCTGCTGGGCTTGGCAACTAT